AAAACACAGAAGGTTTTGTACATTTCGGCACAAGTATTGAGTGTTGCTCGATATTGGTCCGGATCAACGAGGCTGGACTATAGAAATCTATTCCGGAGAGATGTTTGGTCATGCGTCAACAAATACGAATAGAGTAAAACTGGATTAAGTTAGATATTGCCCAGTACTTATGAGGTCAAGTTTTGATAGAACAAAAATATTTCAAAACTAAATAAAAGGGTTAAAATTTGTTTTCTTCTACAAAGTATGTACAAAATTTACATGACGTTCGCTATCCTCTTACCGTCTTTCGACCCTTCTTTTCTGAACCACTGGTCTCCTCGTTTGTAAAAGCGTTCATGTATTTCTAAAAACAAGAGAGAGAGGGGGGAATGCAAAGCACACTTTTTGACAACTTGCCAGTAATGAATCAAAACTTTTCCAATAACTGAAGCTTCCCTGAAATGAGAAGTACCAGTCGCCCTCCCACAAATTATCAAAGCAAATTGACAAAGGCTACCAAAGAGGCGCGGCTGCGAGCAGCATGCTGCAAACCGACGGACAGGTTAATCAAGGAGTCAACTAACACATATTCGTGACTAGCATACAGGGAACACACAGACGGCAACACAGACACCAGAGCAGATGCTCTCCCGCGCGGAACAAACCCCCCGGGAGGAGGGGGACTTCCCTCCCCCGCTGCCCTGTGGGGGGGCGCGTCCCGCGCGACCGGAAGTACCGGAAGTGCAGATGCTCTGGGAGACACAGGAGACACAATGCAAAAGAGTCACGCCGCAAAAGCGCTGCAAGCAAACACAGGGCGAGGGAAGTACAGGAAGAAAGAGAGAGGGAGGCTCCTCGACCCACCACAGCTTCAGCTGCAGGGCAGAGGCTGAGCAAAAAAAGAAAAATAAAAAGGAGGGGAGAAAGGAAACAAATGCGTGAGATGAAGAAGGGAGGCGGCTAGATATGGGCGATGAGTGGATAGATGTGGTTACCATGGAGGATTTAAGTTAGAGGATCTCAGCTGGGAGGTCAGGGACCTCGGGGAGCGTTGTGCTTTCGGCGTCAGTAGGTTTGGGCTTCACCAACCGCTTCTGTAAGATAAACCAGTTTGGATTTGTTAGCTCAGCTCAGCTCCTTGCTCGTACGCGTGGCTTATGAACCGTGGCTTATTTGGGTCAGTTTCAAATTGCGTTATCAATTGGCGGAAAAGCGTCGTAAAAATGGTGAGGTCTGTAGTTAGAGTTAAATCGAACCACACTGGTTGCGCGTGTCAGCGTGTCAGTCCGGTGCTGCAAGAAAATAGTCATTAGTTAAGCCATTAATATATCGTCAGATTAATACAACTTGTCGTGAGCAGCATAATATATATGTATTTGCCACCACAACCCCGCTCTCGCCAGCTGGTTAGCCATTCAGCTGTGATTCGTGAGACTGCATATCTGTTGACCCCCTGCCGTAACGCCGGTCCGGAGTAATGGTTGCTGGAGACCTTGAGGGGGAATGTGAGTCAAGTCAGCTAATGTGGATGCTACGCATGAACTATTCTCCCCCTAGGCCCCTCCAACTATAAGGTCACTACGCTTCCGCTATAGGCTATTAATGAACGAGGTCTAACTAAACTTCCGGATGCAATACCAAACATTCAATTAATATTCAAAGTCAGTAGCAGGCACGCATATCAAGCCATCAACTTAGTGACCACTTTTAGGCTGATTGTGACACAAATTGCCTTCGCGTCAGGTTGGGGCACGCGTGCCCCCCCCCCCCACACACGCACACTTTTTGTATTAGTGCTTCGTATGTATCACTATGTGCCAGAACGGCGTGGGTGCGGGCGGATGGCCTTCGTGTGAGCTAAGCTAGTGACGGTACTTGCAATATTTCAACAGGGGCCGGAGTTTCAGTTCGTGTACAAGTGCGGCCGAGGGAGAAAGCACCTGTTTGTTCGCTGTCCCCTCTGGCCGTCACCCCGGCGAGAAATGACATTTTGAACGATATCGATGCGATTTCGAAACGACACTAGGGACGATGAGTGCGACACCGTTTCGACATCTTTCCGATGTCGTTCTGAACTCCATTTCTGTCTGGGACTCGCACGCTCACGCTCTGTCGCCCGAGCCCCTCTCCGCCTCCCCACACGCACCATGATCCTGTACTTCTCCTTGCAGGCGTAGCTCGTCTCGTCGACGTCGTTGTAGCAGTCGCTCTTGTAGTCCTCGGGGAGAGGGTTACCGTCGTGCTCGCAAAGCTTCTTGAGCGGTCGCGCCCGCACGATCATCTTATCGAAGCCTGTTGGGCCGAGGGAAGTTCAATGAGTACCGCAACGGCGGCATGCGAGGGTCGTTTGTTTTGGTTTCTTTTGTCAGCTACGATTCTACCTCACCTGTGGGCTTTGACTGCGGGCAGTAGAAAACGTCGGGCGTGTTTTTGTCGAAAACGATGGACTTCTTCATCATGTCCTTGGACTTGACGTGGTCCTTGGCGAGACACGCCGCGACAGCCATCTGAAAAGACATGGTGGCGGTAAGTAGTGGTGACAAGGAAGAGCATGCTTTACCCGACAGGGTGTCCCATTCGCTCCGTTGGATGCAGTCGATGCAGTATGGTTGCGCAGACCCACGCCAGCACGCCTTCGGGGATAAATGCGGGGTCGCCCGAACGGTAAAAATAGTTTCTTGAATTTCAAGACCTGGTCTTGGATGTCATTGGCGTTCTCCATAAGACCCAAGACCAAGACCGGGTCTTGAAATTCAAGAACTTTTTTTTTTACCGTGCGAAGCGTGTCACGTTGCGGACCGAACGGGGCAAATAAAGGGACACCCGGGTATATGACACCGCGACGCGGGTCCGGCGGCGGCTGCTCACCAGAATGATGCAGACCGAGGCCAGCGTCCTCGAGATCTCTGCAACAGAAAGAAAGGGACGAAAAGTTATCGACAGGCATCCGCACCGCAGGCAATAATACATCATCTCATCGTAGAAAGTGTGGCTGGCCCGCCGTCATACATTTTTAGGGCGAAATGACAATTTTCTTTCACGATTGTCATAAGCATATATTGCATTGCTTTGCGCTATCGAGCAATCGCAGGTAGCGTCCGCGTCAGCCGACGCGCGCGGCCGAGCTGGTCTTAACGAAGTGCATAACGGCACTTCCCCCGGCGGCGCTCCAGGAGTGGCGAGGCGAGTGCGCGCGAGAGTGCCGCCGCCAGGAGGGGAGAACCGAGGGAAGAACTCTACATGTTCTGGAATTAATTTATTCTCCCCCTCGCTTACTCCGCTTGCGGGGTATCATCTAGAAAGTAAGTCCGTCATTCGCCGTGTGACGAACCTGCCTCAGCAAGCTTGGCAAGTTCTCAACGCGCCTGGTAGGTAGGCCACATCTCGCCTGCAGTGCATGCGTGTACTGCGGGGTGGCCTACCCCGAGTCTCGCAGGCGCCGAGCTCCCGTGTAACTCGCCGATCTACAACTAACTGCATGCGGTACATTAGGCCTGTGACGTAGCGAAGCGTCTGGGTATAAAACTGTAAAAGAACAAATACAGTAACGTCAACAATCCTCATTTCATGTCATGAAACGGGGGATTTCTGGATGAGACCGTCCGGCCTCTGTCCGCGTCCGCATATGGCCTCCACACCGCTGGCCGTCTCATCCTCCTCTCGGCGCGCAGTGACCTCACGGCATGGTGTGACCTCACGGAGTGACCTCACGGTGTGACGTCACCCTAGGTCGACCGTCGGCGGGGCGGCCCGACGCGGTGACCGAGCTGACTGATTTCGCAGAGCATTCAAGTACCGTGCCTTCCTTCCCCGGCGTAGTGACGGCGGTGTCCCATGAGTCCGACAAGGACGGAGGTACGAAAGCGATCTTTCGCGCACTTGTACTTGTACCTTTAAGTCTACCAACACTTGTCTCCCGCACGTGCACCTTAAGGCTGGGCTGTTACGCCACTCGCTATTTAATTGCTATTCGGTGTTACGAAGGGCAGGGGAGGGGGGAGGGCGGTTGTCACGTCAAATGCCACCAGCGTAGCAACGTTTTTTTCTCCCCCACAGAGGCACGTTTCATCTTGGGTTGGTAGGAGGTACTACACATACAATGCCCCCCCCCCCCACGAGTGGCGTTGATGTAATCATTTATATCCCAAGTTAAAATCTGCAACTGATGCGCGCTCGCGAGAAAGTAACCATCCATAACGGCAAATGGATTCCGTCACCACCACTCGCGCTTTCCGAACACTCCACTGCGTGTTGACTCGCGGGTGGGCTGCCTGCAGCGCGGTCGTGCTTGGCAAATCCGCAGGGTATTCCGAACAAGAAGTGTTCCGTCGACGGTTTTTAGGTGTAGGAGCCGATCTCCTCTTGGCCTGGACCCCATCAGTCCAGCAGCTTAGGGTCCATAGCCAGCTCCGCGTTCTCCGTGCCGCCGCCGCCGTCCCGTCTGCCGGGCTGCGGTCGAGGGACTTCCCCGCCAACCACCGCAAACCACCAACCAGCCCGCGGTGTGGTGCCGTACCCCCGGTGCGCCCGAGCGTGGCGGTCGGCCTGCTTCGCTCCCTTAAGCCCCCCTTCCCCCCCACTTCTTCCGCGGTACGTCCGATCCCCTTTTCCCACCGAATGAATGCTATGAGAATATTGCTCAGGCGAGCCGTTACAGCGAAGGCGATCTAGATAATATTCTCTCATCTTTTTACTGAAAACTCTTATTTCGCCACCGACGAAGGCGCGCCGCGCACCTCCGCATGTGCGTCGCGCACAGTCGATTCAAATGAGGAGCCTGCTAGCTGCTCTTACGCGGGGCCGGCTGTAACCATGGCGCGACACGCCTCCGCGGTCCACGGCACAGCCGCGTGTCTGTCTGTCTGGCCGAGACGGCGGGGAGCGTCTCGGTCCGCGGCGCGGCGGCGGCTCAGCTCTCCCGGCTCAGCTCTCCTCTCTCCCCGCCGCCGCCCCGCGGAGTGAGCCGAGAGTTAGTTTCCCTTCGTGCGCGGTTCCGCTCCCACGCGCGACTCGACCGGTCCAACGAGGAAATCTCTGCGAAATACACCACCTCCGCTGCGCGCCCACGCGCTTTCCGGATCTCGGGTAACATTACTGCTTTGTCACCCCTTCTCCTGCCACCGCCGCGGGTACCACCTGACACGACGGCATGACTGTCCCAAGGGACACCAAGCTGCTGTAAACCTTGTAAACCACACCAGCACGGCTCTCTTTCTGCGTAGTCTTGGCTAGGCAGGCTAGGCAGGCTATAAGGCCAAGCAGCACAGCACAGCTGCTTCAGAGACTCAACTGGAGACACGACGAGTAGAATCGATTTCTTCATGTTGCTATAAAAATTTACGACTTTTAGAGGTGCAATACTTTAAAAATTTGCGAAAGGCGCACTAAAAACGTATCGGTTTTTACACAAAATGGCTTATTTGCAGTGTCCCGCTGGTTTCACCCCCAAGGCTGTTGAAAGTTGATCGCCCCCCCCCCCTCACGAATTCGCGCAGCACCCTGCAGCCAGACCACTCTGCAGACACCACACATTGGGGGGCTGCAGTGGGCGTAGCAGCAAGGTTGAGTATCCTTCCTCGGCTCGGCGCGGCGCGTCGCGAGCGGACACACAAAAGAGGCTCGGCCGCATACTCGGGACACCAACCTGTCTTTCAAACGGAGAGGACACTG